TGTGCTCTGCAATTAGACGCGCGTAATGATGATTTATGAAAAGCGAACACCTTGGCCAAGCATCGTTTAATAATTGCACTTTATCCCCCCTGCAGCTGCGTTTACTTTGAATAATGTGTCGTGTCTGTCGGTTCACAATTATTATGACTGGTGAGCCGTGATATTTGTCTTGGCGGAAGGCCAGAGCGGAATTTATTGCCGCCAGATTTTATCCGGTGAGATATGCTAGGGCCACTCGGGGTTATGCACTCTCGTTTTTATCACAAGATATATATTATGCATTTTTTAATTTTTTTTCTAACTGTTAAATTATATTCGTTTTGCGCGTCAGAATTATGAGCGACGAGGTCGATCTGATAAAGTGCGCGGTGTGCAGCACGCCTTGCAATTAGTGCTCACAATCCGTTTAACTTTTAACTCCAACGTGCATGGGAATTATATTTATTTATTTTGCGAGGGTGGTTGGACTCGAGAAAGTAGTATCACTGTGTAGCAATTACACGAGTACTGTTAGTAATTTATTATATCGGATTTCACGCATGTTCAATAAACGTCTGACAGCATCAAGCAATGACAATGAAATATTGTAAATTTAACTGAGTTGATTTTCTTGTCAGTATTTAATTTACTGGAGGTGATCAGTTAAAAGCTTATTTTTACTCTCCATTCATACTTTATTTTTATTGAGCTTGTACGAAAATTTCACATTTTTTCCAAATTTTCCAAGGAAGGTAACAACTTCGGCTCAAAATTTAAGCTGTACAATATCTATCACAATTATAATACCAAATACATTGAAAAATATGTAAGAACCATTTTAATATTTTTAACGTTTTTATGAGAACTTTTGTCATTTGAAATCTATATCTGGTGCAATGAACAAATAACTGACGTTTCAACAAGATACATTCACTGGACGCTAATATGAGTGTGTCTCTGATAAGTAATAAAAATCTTACTAAATCAGATCAAGTAAAAATTTCGTGTATCAAATAATTAGTGAGTATTCAAGAAAGTTTTTTTGAGCTACTTTTTATGAATATTTATGGAATCTTAATTACTTCTTCACTGCATTTAATGTATTTCATTTCAGTTCATTTAATTTTAAAAAGTAATTGGTATTGCTACTTTCTTACTATCACTTATTATGTACTTAAAACTCTCCTTGCTCTGAATTCCACGCTCGAAAAGTTTGCCAAAGTGTGATCATTTGTTATTTAATAAACTTTCATGGCAAAAATGAGCAGAAATTGAGATTTTGGATGTTTTTGCTGACATCTTCTCTTTTTTCCGGTTAAAAATTTTTCGTACTGATCAAGAAAAATAAATAATAATAGCTTTAATTTAAAGTAGATCTTGATTCATGAATACATTAAACGTCATATTTGTTGAAATAAAATCCGGCTTCCTCGGTGGAGATGAGCAACTTTATTGTTTCTGCATGATACAGAAAATATGACCACCTCGAGTGCCAAAAGGTTCCACAACAACAACTTCAAGAACCTATACAGAAAATTAAACGTCATCTCTCTTTCTAAAATTCTTAAACTTTTTCATGCTTTCTTAATGCTTTTTTTATTTCTAAAGTATTAAAGAAATTCACAAATCGCTGTGATCTAATGAAAAGCTTACAGCGAGAGGAATTTTTACTCATATACTACAAGAAAAATTTTCATTGTCACTGTTTGATTTACGAGGATTAAAATTGCTGTTACATAACTAAAATTAAATTTAATTTTCAACTTAGTAAGGACGCTTATATATTGTTATATTTTGTTAACAAATTAAGAAATTTGCCTATGGATCAAATTTGTATTTATCAGGAAGATTGAAGCTTGTTCATCAAAGGAAATTTTTGCATTATTATCTTTTTATTTTAAATTAATAAAAAAATCGAGACCTTTCCATGTCATAAGTCTCTAAAATGATAAAAGAACATACAATGATAAATCTTAATCCTGATGGTCGCATCAAAAAGCTTTTTCTGTTGATGCTCCTCTAATTTACGACGACAAGACGACCGAATTCTGAAGCGTCCTTTTCTATTTTCCGCCGTGTTAAGTGCACGCCTGCATGTTCTTCATGCGACTTACTGCTTACACAAAACAACTCCGAAATATAAAATAATTTATCCGCTCATTTATCAGCGGAGATGTGCGCGCATGATAAATGTGTTGGCTTCTTCACGCGCCACACAAAAGAAAAGAAGGAATGCTGCTGGCCCAAGACAAATATCGCGCGCTGCTGCAGCTTCTGCTCTTTCCACTTGATATTCAAATAACCCTCTCCTCTCTCTCTGGTGCATTTACTTTTATTTATTTCTGTGTGCGGTGCGGTGCACTCTCGGCACAAAGTGCACGAGGAATGCACGGAGATGAGTATCAAACAATAAATAAGCGGACAAAGAGGTGACAAGAGGGCGTAATCACGACAATGCAGCCGCACGAGAAAGACGCAGATATACAAAAAGAAAAGAGACACTCGGAGATGAATCTCTTTTGGTCGTGCAATCATTTTTTTACCAACTGTTCCTTCTTGGCAATAAACTGCGTTGGTTGTTGAGGGAAACATTTGATAAAAATTAAAAGGCGAAGAAAATTCTAAATAAAATAAAGTCATTTTTCGATATTCATAAATATTGCATTTATTAAAAAAAAGGTTAAAACAATGGTCATGTGGCAAATAATGTGCAATATCAAGTTTTCCTGTAAAGCACAGCACTTGCAAACAATTAAATTGAAGCCTTGTACATAAATTGCTACTAAACTTATTTAAAAAGTGCATGTAACATTTAATTTTATTTACGTTAAATTATATACAATAATTTTAAAAAATAATTTACAATTCATTGTTTTATTATATTTTCTTAAAGCAATTTTAAATTTTTCTTTGTTACCTGATTATGTTTTTTTAGTTTATCAGTTTATTTTATTAGCAATCACTACTAAAAAATCAGTTTTTAAATTAATATTTTATTTTCTGAAAATAAATTTAGTTCAACCTTGGGCATTGATCATGAAGTATTCTTAATAATAATACCTTGTTCCAATCCAGTCTATGTGTTTGTCTTTAAAATAAATAAATTCAACCAATACATAATCAAATTATATCATCAAATTCAGGTCAACTTTTGACTTAATTTCACAGTAGTTTTAATTCTTAAGAAAAGTTTTAGTACTAATTGGTATATTTACCAAGACTTAGATTTTGTTTTTCGAGTTGCATATCCAAATGATCAAAGCTGCCCACGGGCGCTCATAGTGGAAAATTCTCATGGGCATTGAAGAATTTGTGTTCATATTTACAAAGAATGATAAAATTCGATTTTCCGTGTGTCTTGCGGATTGTGAATTAAACATTATGCCAACTGTAAAATCTTAAAAAATGTCTTTTCGCAAAAAATGGCACCTTATTCAAAATGAAGTGTAAAAAAGGAAATAAAATATAATGAAAATAAAACAATTAATGTTCCTCACGATAGCAAAAAACAGTTTTACTTTGTTATTGAATTGAAATTAGATAATCTCCTGCTCTTGTCAAGTGTTCTGAAAGGGAATCTCATTTGTGGATCACAACACATAGAGCAGACGCAGCGCAGAAGTGCTAATCGCGCGAGATGGTTTTCGCAGAGAAAGTAAAGAGAGGCAGCTGTGTCCGTCAATGAAAGCGAAGAGATGCGTTTTGCCGATACCGAGAAAAGCACAACGATATTTTCATATATGTGCGAGCGTGACCACAAGAGCGCAGATAAGGAATAAGAAGCGCGCACAACAAACAAACACACACTTTTATTTTCCTTTGCGAGAGTGAGTTCGCATTTAATGCCATGGTCACTGCACATTGTTGCTCTTAACCTTTGCGAGAAACACTTCGCTCTGCGTTTTCCTTCAAGACGTGCCTTTTATTTGCGTACACTCTTCACGTAATCTGCCTCCTCCCCGATTTTTTCCCGCAGAAGTATCAATTTCCCGGCCGTTTCGTTTATATTCCCAGGAAATGCAGTTCATTGGCAGCAGAATGCGAAAATATAATATAATACGCGCACTGCGGCTTTTCTGTTTATTGTCATCCCAACTCACGCACCAAGGCACATGAACTTGAATCCAGATCCAGATGTTGACCGCAAAAAATGAGCTTTTTATTTTTAATCATTCATTCAAAAATCAAGAAAATAGATGGAATCAAATAGACGGAAATTATAAATACTTTTTTCCAGTTTCTGATCATAAATTTAAAAAAAAATCCCAATCAAATTCAGTTGAATTTTCTTGCATAACAAGCAAAACGTGAAATTGCTTTCCTCTTCACAAGTTGAGCTGTGAGGAAAAGAAAAGTGTTGGCTAAATCACTTGGAATCCGCCACACGTAGGACGGTTTGAGAGGAATTTATAATCTGTTGATGCATCCGACTCCACTTAAGCACTCGACCGAACTCCATTTTTCAACAATTGTGTCACTCTGTAATAAGATTAAACGGACGCACATATACGAGAGATTTTCCGCTCGCCGGTGGAATAAATTACATCGAAATTAAATCTGGTCGGCGCGGTAATGCAGCCGAAGAACAAGGCCGAGAGTGCGTTCATAACTCTCCTCGACTGGCGTCTGCCCCGCGAAGGCGCAACAGCATAAATAAATATGAGGCGGTCTGATATGATATCGCTCGCAAAAAAAGGGAGCAGACACACACATTTTCTCGGCCGACCAACAACTTCATACACAACCAGTTAGGCTGCATCTTGCATGCACTCAAATTGGCGCTACACCTCAATTTTTTTTTAATAGCGTTTTTTTCTGTAAAATATGAATTATTTAAAAGAGGTGGATGCATAAAATCAATTCGTTGCTTTTATTTGGGACGTTATATATTTCATAACTATATTTTTTTCAGTGGGAATTAATGATAAAAAAATAATTTAAAACATTTTAAAGACATTTTTCTCTAACCCTAATTTATTTCATATTAGGAAGGCAGAATTCTACTTTTCACTAAAAGGCCATTTATGAAAATTTTTGTATAATATATTTATTGCAGAACAACAAACAACCAAATTTTTGTTGCTTTTTGAAGTGGTAGAAAATTGTTATTATACAAAGGTATTTAAAATTTACTTTTTCACTGCTGCTAAATAAATAATTTAGTTTTTATTTTTAATTCCTACATGCAAACTCTTTACTGGATTTGTGTTATTTGACGCCAGTTTGCAACTTGGGCAAATCTGTTCACAAATGAAATTGATTGTTGTATTGCAGGGCTGGTCATTCCAAAAATTACCAGACGCATAAGCAAACTGCAAACAATTTTGGAGTGTTCCACCACTAGGCTGGTTCGGGTGCCAGTCAGAAAAAGGCCCAATCGCTTCACCGATGCTGTCCCAGTACCACTTTCCCTCTACATACATATCGTTGCCAGATGTCCAAAAGGGAATTCCCTCGTGGTTTGTCACTGAAATTATTTCTTAATTTATGCAGGGTTAGAGAAATTAATAATTATTTACTAACATATGTAGCCTTTTAGAAGATCATTCTCCTCTTTTGTCTCGATGCTTACTAAAGCTAAGCCCATTGCTTTGCAAGCGTAGTTGGCAGAAAACCAATCGAGCTACAAAAAGTACAAAATTTTGTACAAGCTAAAAAACTGCACTTATTGTTAGTTACCTTGTAAGTGGGAATTTCGTAAGTACGATTTCCAAGCACAACTTGTTCTCTGGCCCCTCTCGCATCTGTATTGATTTTTACAAGTTTAATTAAATGTCTGATCTACTGAAGAATAACTCTTTCCTTTGATAGAAATTCGAGGTACATTCGGACTTAATCCAATGGCCAAAGTCACTAGAAAAAACAAAGAGACACACTTAAAGATTGCTGCAGCCATCTTGGCTATGGAGAGACAACGAAAGCCACTTTTTTGTCTTTTGCGCACTAGTATGTTGAGTTATCTTCAAACAAGCTTTGATAATTCTCAATAATCTCAAAAGAAGTGGCAAAAAAATAATCAGCATTCATTGAGGGACTTTTGAACATCCGCCGTGTATGAATTGATTTCTTGAGAATCATTAATCTTGTTTGATATTTTTTTTGGTTATTTGCCCAGAGAACAGACAAAAAAAATCATTTTTTTTCTATTTTACTCTTTAAGATGTGAAAAAATTTGAAAAAGGCAAGTGAAAATAATTTTCTACATGTCAGCAACAAGTACGCTAAATAAAAATAAACGATTTAATTGCATTTAAAAATTTTGCAACAGATAAGTTAGTTACTAAATTTTTTTTTTTAAAAAAAGGACGTGATTGCTGATCATAATTGCCAGACAAAATACTGTTAGGATTTGCTATAAACTGAATCAATTATGATTATTTTCATCTTATCTTGAGATTCAACACAGATAATGGAAATGGAAAGATGAAGAATATTTTTTTTCAATAACACGTTTAAAATATTTTGTAAATTCTTTAGCAAAAATTGCGACAGAATAATAATCTGAGTAATTCATTATAATTGGATAATATTTGTTTGATAATGTATTAATTTCAAAATAGCCACTAACTTCACAATTCCATCTCTTAAAAAATAATGAAATTTTCTTTAGTCACGCCTCGGGTGAGCCGGCGCGCACCCCTCGCTTTTATTCTGCTTTATTTCTTTTCGCGCGGCGCTCGTAAAGCAATTCTGAGAAAATGCACCACCGAGGTGCACCGCAGAGGTCTGCGTTAATTTATTCGTTTGCTTGTCTGCAGCGAGTCTAGAGAACTCACAACACATTAGCCTTAAGTGTTCACTTGAGTGTGATGAAGAGGTTGAACCGCGCGTCTGGTAGAATAAAAATCCCTACATAAATTTCTCAAACACGTTCTAGGATTTGCTCTCTTCCTGCACCGCCCACCCTTTTAATAAATAAATATTGTGTTGGTACTCGCGGCCGCAATAAATATATCACACACGCGCGCGCGGACCTTTGTATAAAATAATGTACCGAGTGTGTACAAGTATGTACTTTATGGACCATAAATTATTGCTGCGCCGCAAAGAGACGCTGTAAATTATTGATCGGGGCTCGGAGATTTTTTCGCCGGGACGAAACAATAGAGTGGACAGCATTTTTTTTTCTGCACTCCAAGGTTGCATTTTTCATAAACATGCGCCCGACTGCATAATACAATGGGTAATGAAATCAGCTGCATCTCTCTTGGCTAAATTAACTGCACTTAAAATGTTTTGCTCGTTCGATGATTTTTTTTTCATGTGTAATCTGGCGGCGTAATCGCGATCCATTGCGTGCCTAATTTGCCGCTGCTGCATGTGCGGGACACGAAATTGCTCTCAGACTTAGCGAATTCTTCTGGAACATTGCCGTGGAGAATCCAGAAGCCGCTTCCTCTCTCACTTCAAACTGCTTTCAGGCATTTTCAGTAACCACGAAACCCAATCCATTCATATACAACTTCATTCTTTTTAACAATTAATGCTAGTTTTTATGTATTCAGTGAGGAGTATAATTGCATGCAAAAAAGAATGATGTTTACTTTCTTTAGGATAATTCATAAAATTAATTTTTAACTCTAGATTTTTCAATACATTTAAAAAGTGTTCCTGGAAATTTAATTTGATAATCTAGTTTTTTATTAAAAGATAATTAAATCAGGTTTGCATGGTTATCATCAAAATGAGTCACTTGTTTACGTCAATAGATTTCACCTGACATAAAAATTATATTAATCAATATTAGATACAAAAAAACGTGCAGTTACTTAAATTTGGAACAAAGATACGGCAAACAACCCTCTGTGATTTTAAGAAGATAGCATTTAAAAAATTTTGAATGAATTTTTCGATAATTTGCCGTTTAATCATACCAGTATGTTTTGTGAAAACTTAATTAAAAGTGCTCTTGGGTGTGTTAATAAAATTAATAGATAAGATAACTGTCTACAGTGGAGATGAAAAACTTCACAAAGGATGAATAACATATTATTTTATGCTTGTCATAATCTAAAATTTGTGATTAGATTATTCATATTTTCTCGGCTATTTTTGTTCATCAAAATAATTTCAAGATTCAAAATCATAAGAATTTTGAAGGAAAAAAGATATTCTGAATGTTATTAATTTTTTAACTATTCATTTGATTACAAACCTCTTAAAAGACTTTATTTAAAAATTTTCAACTAAAATGTTTGCCATATTCGGTGAAAAATCGGAATTATGAAAAGGTCATAGACCGCGTTTTACAGAAAAATGTCTTTAGCAGCGCGTATAATTCATTATGCAGCAGAGTAAAATTTCAACATATGCAAATGCGAGAGTATGACTTTATGATTACATTAGCGCTCGGAACAATACACGCTATAGCAGCAGGCTGGGTTAAATAATAATCACTTAATATAGCGGAGCAGAGGGCAGGCGCGGCCGCCGACGAAAGCGATGAAATGTAAATTACTCTGTGTGTGGAACAAAGAGCGATATCTCATACACACGCTACAATCTGCAAGCGAAATGCACAACCGTATTCGAATCACAGAACATGATATAATGTTTCAAGAAGTGCAGCCCCCTTGCCATTGACCTTTGATTGTCTCCGCGAGGTGCTTTGTTTTGTGCAGCCGGCCGCGGTCGTTGGGCCGAGCAAGTCGTGCTGAAAGTAAAACCCTCGACAATAAAACGACGTGTCAAATCAGCAGGATAAAAATTGCCAATAATTGGCGTCGCGACTCTCTTTCGCGCTGCGGGAAATCGCCGCAAAAGCGTTCGTAAATTTCACGCTGACTCTCTCGTGGCGGCTTTTTCTCTTTTATTATTTATTCGTCCGAGCCGCAATAAATAAATTCAAACTCGCGCTGATTATCGCGACGACCGAAGACACTCTTTCTCTCTCTCTGGGCTGGCCGTCTCCAGTTTCCGTCATGCACTTGACCCCGGCGCTGACCCTTCGCCTCTCCGCCAACTTGTTTGTTTTCTGCATCTCGAAATGCATGTTGGGAGAACAAGGAATCTGCAACCCAAGCATCCCGAACGTTTCGAGATTCTTTTGCAAACAAACATGGAACGCTAACAAAGGGGTTGTGTTTCGAGGAGCTAAAATTTTAGACTGCCTGCAATTCAAAACAATTAACTTTATATTTTCACTGTTAAAATTCTGGAGAAAATTACTGGCCTATCCATGATTGAAGCCAGTTAAGGAAAAAATATTTTATTCTAGTTTTTTTTTCAAAGAAAGCTGCAAAAATATTTTAAATTTGATGCCTTTCTGCTTGAACTTTAAGATATTATGATTATTGAACTTTAATTGAATTAAATTAAGTTTAAACGTAAATTTAATTGATTTTTTTACATGAATTGTGCAAATTTTTATTTGAAGATTAGCCTAAAAGTTTATTGGAATGAAAAAAAATCCAAAAAAACTTTTGGTGATTGATTATTTGCCAACAATTTTTCGATCTTATGAATTAAATTCTAAATCCAAAGCAAGGCATCCATGCCACACACGATTTCGCATCTCAAATCCTGCTCCAACTGATGCTGCGAAGTGTATAATGCATCAAGTACCGGCGACAAAAACTCAATTTATGACTCTCTTTGACTCGCTGGCTGGCAAGATCCTCCTCATTCAAACGCCACTCCATCTGCGAGTAAATCACGCGTTGAATGCATATTTTTTCCGTCTCGTCTCTCTTTCTCATGCATGGTATTACGCAAACAGCAGTTCCGTTAACGAGCTCTGAGCGAGCACGATTCGATTATGACTTGGAAAATTGGGCAATTTCAAGCAATTTCACTCGCTTGCTATGCAAACAACTGAATTAATTTTGATAGCATCAATTTTATACACAGGTTAAGAGCGCAAAAGACAAAAGCATGAAATTATTATCAAATTATCATAAAACTGAAAATGAGAGGATGAGTGTATGAAAAAAGGAAATTTTAATAAATTGTTAATAAATAGTGGGACAGAGGGTTGAAAATTTGACGTCAGATATTACTTTTGTTTCCACTATTGCTCATCCAAAAATTGAATTGTTTTGTTTGCGATTTAGAATTTAATTACTTAATAGAAAGCAAGGAAAGATAAATGCAAGCAAATAATATTTCAATTTACTCTACTCTTCTGTAAGGAATGCAAACTATTTAATTTTTATTATCCAAGAAATATATGATGATTTATTAACTATTTTTCTAATTATCTTGGAGTTACATAAAAAATATATGCATTTAAACAAAAGGAATTATAAATTATAAAAAATAAAATAAAATACAACTAAATGAAATGTAATATTAATATTAATCAAACTTTTTAATTATATATGTAAAAAAAATAATTTTTGTATTAAAAATACAGCACTGGAGCTGTCGGCAGATGCACCTTATAAGTTTATAATTACAATTTATTAGCGAGAAAAAATTAACGCGTTCGAGGCGAGGACGGGGGGGCCACGCCCTGTCGCCGGTGCGTCCACCCTCGCCCAAGGCTGGTGTTCTTGCACTCCGAGGTGGGCTGCCTGCGACCTGCACCACCGCACCAGTGCCACCCGCCGAGGTCTCCTCTTTGCTGCATCTCTGCTCGCGAAACGGAGAAAAGTGCAGTCAGGCGGGCACTGCGGCGGCGGCGGCGACTGGCTGCTTTTTGCTCTCCTCGCCACATGTGGGCTGAATTTTTTCAAGTGAGGGCCGAGCGCTGCACTCCCCGTTCAGGTGACGAGATCTTGTTTTCATAATTTTAATTGAATCACTCTCTACGGCTTCACTTTGCCAACGATCGTGGTCTCACCCGGGGCAGTGAAAAATCAGACTCGAAGGTGATTAATCACAGGTAATTTCATTTTAACACCTGATTTTGAGAAAACAGTTGAATTTGAGAAAGAGTTGTCATTCAACATAATGTCAATGTAGGAAGAGGAAACAAAATTTCCAAATTATTTGATTTAGAGTAAGAAATATTATAAAATTATAAGCACATTTTTACTGTAATAATAAGATAATAACAGGTTTTTTTTATTTATGACTTTGCTTTGCACTTTCCCAGCCTAATTCGTCAAAAAAATTTAATTAATAGAAATGTGTAAGAAATCGCTAAACTTTGGATTTTTGTTATTTTCGTTCACAATTTCAATTAAAACTTTCACACTTATTTTTTTAAAAACCGATAGTAACTAGATTTGAAATAATTTAATTTAAATCCAGAAATTTTCACCTGTACCATTCATAACACTTTGAAAATCATAGTCTATTAAAAGAAAGCTTTTTTAAATATCAATTGTGAATCAAATTAAAACAAAAAAATATCAAAATCTATGTTTATTATCTTCTTCCAATTGTGTTCTTATAAGAAAGCATTTCCCAAAACGTCCTGATGCGTCAAACGTGCTCTAACAAAATTTCGAATTCGCATGGTGCATTAATTTTAGAATCTTTAAATTGTGGAGACTCATCTATACTTGTTTATTTGAGTCTTTGACTAAATAGAAACATATCTATTACTTGTGGCAGCAAGTGTGACATACATATATGTAAATATAATCAGCACAGAGCAGTTTCACATTTCTGCGTGTTTTGATATTTAAGATTCCCGCGAGTATATCTCAACACGGTGCTTCGGCAGCCAAACGAAAATGTCACACACACACTTCTTCTTCTCTGCGGTTGAGTTAATTCTCATGACGCGGAGTAACACGACCGGTCATGAAAACCCACCCATATTTTGCACAAACGCGAATTTGATTCTTTCACTGCCCGCCGCATCTGCCTCGCGAGGCGTTTTTTCAACCGCACAGTGCGGCGTGCGGTGCGGGGAAAAATTCAATTTTCGAGCTCATCTCGAGTGTTGCTCCTCAGGGAATTTATTCATTATCGCCCGAGCATCTTAAGGCGAGAACCTATTTACAAGACTTCAACTCGTGGCGGGCATATGAAAAAAATAAATAAATAAATAAATAAAAGGCAAAGCTCATTTTTTTCTTTTAAATTATAAGGAGTATGAATATATAGAAAAAAAATGATATTATTAATGTGTGAGTCACTTTTCCAGAATACGAATTTATAAGTTAATTCCGGGAGTTATGTCAATTTTAAGCGCAAGAAGAGTATTTTTTTTTATATAAGCAAGTAAATTTTTCAAAATGCTTTGGAATATAGATATTTAGCAGTAAAATATAATTCGAATTTATGAATTCAAAAGAAGAGTGAAATATTAATTACAATGTTGCAAAAACAATCTATAGAAATTCTAAAAGAAAAATCGCAAATCATACAGCTCTATTTTAGATATTTAAATAACTTCAAAAATAATGTTTAAAAATTATACATTTTTTTAATTTAAAATAAATCATATATTATTAAAAATGAAATTTATATTAATTTTGTTTATAATTTTTATATTTAATGATTTATATTAATTTTTAATAAGTATTAAATAAAAGAATTAATTATTTTTTAAAGTTTTAAATATTTTTTTGCAGTTAATATTGTATATTTACATTTAAATCTCTGTCACTTCAGTAATTATTTGATATTAATAAACATTTTATACTCAATCCTTTCTTTTTCAAGCTCCATCATCTGATATACTAGATTAAATTATTTATAATGAAATCAATAATAATATTCAGCAATTCAAATCTTATTAAATTGAAATCATCACTGGTTCCTGGATTATATAATTAATTCTTTGAAAAATCATAAGCATTATTAATTTAAATTCATTGCCAAAAAATCTTTCTTGCGTTAAAGTAACGAAAATTAAACACAAACCAAGAACATCTTTCACTTAAATTAACAAAATATTTCTGAAAAGAAAAGTCTCCTAATTTTAAATATATACTCATCTACAACAAATTTAATGTTAATTGAACTCGGCATTATGTTTTCTCCAGATTGTTCAGCCGAGCAAATTAAAATTTTAGCCTCCACCTGGGCATTTACCTTTGCTGCCGTGTGAAGATAATGGGCAGTCGCGCCTCGTGCAAGCCAGACACGCGGTATGTCCACTTTGCTTAAAATCTGTCCGCGCGCACGAAGGTCAAATCGCAAATCTGTGCTGTATATTACTCTCTCAGGCCACCACCTTGTTTTCTTGTTATTTTTTTATTTCAAACCGTCTTGTTTCATTCTCTTCTTCCAACACATATATTATTTTGCCGCTCGGCTGCGCTAAAGAGCGAATTTTTATTTTGCTCTGCCTCGCGCAGCACCTCCGCGTCCAGACGCGAAATTCAATTTGGCACTTTGTCTTCCTTTGTGTTTTGCGCTGCTGCCGAGGATTTTTTCGCTGCCCGTCTTTCTATTGTGCGAAGAGAATGGTGGCCGAGTGGCGCGCAAAGTAGATGCGGCCGATTGTCAGTTTTAATTTTGCGCCAGCTGCGCTGCGGATTTCTAGAATGTGCGTCCACACATGGTACATACATTTTCCAAAATCAGCAATTCGGTGAATCGGTAATGATGCGTGCGAATATTTCCACTGACACACAAAATTTACGATCTTCTTTGCTATGAATTTGGAATTATTAAAAAGGTCAAATATTATTTTAAGAATTTGATGATATTTTTGTTAGAATCAGACAAATATTTATGGATATAACGAATTTTATAAAACTGATCATTTTATTTAAATTAATTAAAAAACTTCACACATGAGTAATCTTCAATTTTGTTTATTTCTTGTAATTTTTATCCTTTTTGTTTTCTAGTTATTCCAAAAAATTAAAATATTTTAAAATTTCAGCTCCCCTTTGTTAGAAAACAAAAATTTCACCACCATTGTGTTTCCATTTCTGAATTGAATTTAACGATTGGCAAACGCAGATAATATAAAAGGTGCCCATTCGCAGAGGAATTTATTTGTGCAATAAATTATGTCAAAAGCGACTGACTTGCGGGTGATTCTGGGAATCTGCTCGGAAAACAAGACCGCGGCCAAAAGCGTCTCCTTATCGCTCTGCGCGCAATTTAATTTGGGCTTAGCCAAGTTGGGCATGGGGAGGGCAAAAAAAAAAATAAATAATGCGTATCGGAGAGCCGAACGCAAACCACACGTGTGCGCACCGAAACCGGCGTCTTGCAGATTAACGGGGAGGGAATGGACTTGGAATATTGGTAAATGATTTTGTTTACAGTAAAATTAAAAAAAATTATTAATTAGTTTATATTTAAACATAAACATACGATTTTTATAAAAAATTTTCAATTAGATTCTTTTAAAAATATTTTTAAATTAAAAATAAAATTATTTTTTAATTTTGAATAGTCGAACGAGATAGCCAAATGTTTTAAAATATTTGTTAAATATGTTATTAATATAATGCCCTCTACGCACCATAAACAGGATGATCAATTTTAACATGCGTTAATTATCAACACGTGGTATTTCGTGTTATAAAATTTATGAATAATTTAATAAGACATATAACGCATTAAATATTATTGCAATATTTCATAATTATATTTATAGAAGAATTCAATATATAGCTACGTTAGGAGCACCAATATTCCATGGAATAGAATTTTTACATTTATTATAATAAAAATCTTTCAACGAAACAAAATCATTTACATATTTTAGAAAACCTCCGATTACCAATGCAATATTCTTGCAAAAAAATTGCTCTCTTTATGATCTTTTTGTAGCAGAAAGCGTTAAAAAAAATTCAGAAAATCGTTGCAAAAAGTAAGCGGAATGCACAAATTGGGGATCACAGCTTCTTGTTCATTTCACTGTCAGCGTAGACCGAGTTTGCGCGAGACAAGCACACAAGAGGGAAACAATTTAACCATACACAAACGCCCGCGATTTACAAAGTGCTGTAATTGAATTTTTCTATAACACATTCCAGCGGACGCGGCCAAGAGTGAATTTCAATTATTCCCATCTCGCGCTTCTCTGACGAAAAAAGGCTCCTAGACTTGCCGCAGACGCGGGCACACTTGCTTCTTACCTGGAAATAAAAATACTTTTTTAATCTCGCTTCTCGGCCGTGCGCGGATAAATATTCGGCGGAAAGCAAAACCGGTCAAAGCCGGGCAGTCGCTACTTTACGCTGGAATGTCGCTTGAATTTTGCGCCGTTCGCGAATGTCAGCTTTTTGTTCGCATCCGCGCGCGGCCGGCGTTGGAATTTCGAGAATAATTGACAGCGCTTTTGCATTTATCAATTAAATTAAATCTGATTTCTAAATGAATGTCTTTTGAAAATTGATGACCAAATTTTAATTAAGGTTGTTCGTGACAAGGGTTTTCTCACATTATTTTTTAATTAAATCAGCAAACCTCATGTTAAGACAATTTTTTCAATCCTTTGTCTTCTTTTTTAATAAGTTTACTTTAAAGTTTCAAAAGAAAAACGTAATATTTAGCTTAAAATATTATAATTTAAAATGAATCAATCATAAATCCCCTAAATATGAACTAATATTCAAACTCAAATCCAGATGAAATTAAAAAGAAAATATAGTTTAAAACGAAATTAAATTCATTAAATTTTTCAGTTTTTATCTATATGGCTACCCAGAAAACATAAAGAGGTTTGTTTAATAATAAAAATTTAACAATTTTAACTGCAATGGCATCAACCATTTAAGTTTTTAATTCTGTTTCACCTTGATTTTTAAGTGAATTAAAACCTGCAACGAGCATCTGTGTGACGAGCAAATTGAAGCGCGTGTCTTCTCTTGTAATTACCCGCACAACCATTACTACAAAAATATCTCTAAAACAATTAAACTGGCGCAGTCGTGATTGTCGAATTTGCAGGCGGCGAGCACGAACAATACTCGATGGAAAAAGGGCAATTTGCTCTTTCTCTCTCTCCACGAGAGCAAAACGTTTTTGATAAATTGATTTTTCTTGGTAATCACCTTTGCCGCGAGACGAGAGCGGCGAGCGAAGAAAGGAGCAATTTAATAATTGCCTCGCCGAGACCATGTTTTGTATTTCGAGCAAAATAATTACCGCGAGCGAGCGCATCTCCTCATTGTTTCTACGTACAAGTCCACTGCATTGTTGAACGATTTTTTTTCTTCGTATTTTTATTTTTGCACCTGTCGAAATTAAAATATACAAGACGGAAAAAAATAATAATCAAAGTCAACGAACTGAGAGCCCATTTGCGGTGATTTTGCGCGGCTAATTAATCACTTAATTTCGTCGGCACGTCCACGGGCCGTAAAATAAAACAGGACAATGTCCATAACACATATAAAAGTCGAACGCGGAACTGGCGGCGCAGCTGCCTCGGCTTGTTGCGGCAAAAAGTAGTCGCGAAAAATTGTATCGCGCGGCGCGAGTGTGCGGCCCGGGAAAACAATTTATGGCGGCCTTGATGTCCCATTGTTTTGCGTCCTTTTGTCAAAATTTAAATAAACGGCAAGAAGGACTGCCACTTTTTTGGCCGCTTTTGACGAGGGGATGACATTAAAAAGTTCCAATTACAAATTGAGTCCCGATTTTTTGCCCGTCGCAATAACCTTGCGTCTTGAATATCACGATGCAGAAAAGCCGACCAACGCGTTGCTTTGCACCTAAAATAAAATTTTACACGCATCGGATTGGATATCGAGTGAGCCGTCAGAACAGGAAGGAGATGAAATGTGAAAACTTAACGCCGAGGTGATGAAATTTGCACCAGCAGCGTTGGTTTAAAATTTATATTGACTGCGAATAAAAAAAGCATATTTTGTTCATTTAAAGCTCAAATTTAGTTTTAAAAATCATAGATTGTCTCGGATTGTCTTATCATAAGCCTTTTTCCCATCAGAAATTATTCGTTTTTCAACATTTAACTGCAAGTAAATGAATATTTTCCGGTTTTATACCAGAAAATGTGTTTATAAAAGAAATTAAGTTCGATCTCATATTGGTTAAAAAAAAATTTTTTAGCCACAGAATTTTTTCTTTTATATGTGTTTAAATTTATTATAAATTGAAGAAGTTTAGAAAAACATATATTAGCTTCAGTTCTTTATAAATTATTTTTTTTTTTAAAATATTAAAAACTTTTTATAAAAATAAATCATTAAAAAGAATTTAATTATTTCATTCATATTGAAGGTCTCAACAAGTATTATTATTGTTCCTTGAATACAAAAGCGGAGATAACTTGACAAATTATAGTTATATTCAAAACAATAATAAAAAAATAAATTATTAAAGACACTTAAAAGTTTGAAATTATGAATGTTAACATTTTCTTGAAGACTTCACCTCAACTGTCCATTTAAAATTACTTTTAACTATGTTGTATTTATATTATTTCAGAAATTTTCTGTTATTTTTGCATGAAAGCGGCCAAATTAGAAATATGCCTCAGCTGGACCTTTAACCCTTTACTCTAAATTGTTAGTAAAGGGTTAAATTCTTATGGCGCAAAAATAAGTTTGATTTTTCTTCCGAAAATTAAAAAATGTAATAAAATTCATATTTATGTGTATTCAAGATTAAAACAAATAAGTTTAAACATTTGAAAAAAAAAAAAGAAAAAAAGTAATAATAATAAATGTCAGAAGACTTGCAAAAAATATTTATATTTATGATTACTCTGTAAATATCTCTCTTTCTTATGATACAATTTCAAAAGCACGACGCATTATGTTTTTCCTTCTGGGAAGCGAGCCTTGAAAACTGAATGCAAATTAAAGGCAATCATCATTCGGTTGCTGGTGCACAAAATTACATAGGGGGACCAAATCTGGTCGGCCATCGTGCGTCGCTGCTGCTGCAATCATGCTTGCCGGCGTCCCCAAACAATTTTGAATCGTGTACTCGGAAATTATTCGGGTCCAGCCAGAAAATTGGCGGGACGAGGCATGAACTCACTTGCACCTGGCCGAAAATCCGCCTCTCTCTCGGAAATAAGAAGATGAAAAAATCCCGTCTTACGTCAAGATAGGATTACCGAAATCTCTGCCACTTGTGTAATTTTACGGTTCTCACTCTCATGACGAGAAATGGTAGAATATCTGATAATTGACAATTTATGGCGGTTAGAAATTAAAAATAATGCAGCAAGGTAAGGTCGGCTTATTCATACAAACACACACAGATCGTGATGCCCAGTAACCATTTTTTAATTTCTACTATAAATTTTCGTGATTATCTCTCATTGCCAGCATGAGTTAGAATGAAACGCAATAATATTCCGAATGATACAGTTAACCGACTTGGGAGGTATTTTTCAATTTTTAATTTTCGTGGCTGTCGTCTCTGGCCCGATTAATCATGAAAGCAATATCGCCGAGTGCAAAATTACAGTGTGAATCTTTCCAACACTGACGCGAGATCCTCCTATGCCCAAATGCGGACTGCGAATTACGGCGTCTGTGAAGAATCTACAAACAATAAAAAATACGAAACAATATAATTTGAGGCGAAATCGAATCACGCTCGATCGGCTGTAAATTTGCCGGACGAGTAGAGCCAATTTGAGCAGTTTTCCAAGTGCAAGAGAATATACAATTTTCCCACAGAAAGAGAGACTTGCAATCAAATTCTGAATTGCATAAGTCGGAGGGAAGAAAATTGATTCATTTTCGTAACAGAATTTCAATATTGAACCTCAAACACAGAAATTTTATCTAATTTTTGAATTTTTTTTTTAAATTTAAGTTCTAATAAATTAATTATTTTGTTCAAAATTTATATTTACAAATTAGGTTTTCATTAATTTTAAAGGAAAGCTTTGAAAAAATTTAATGTATGAATTTTTGACAGATTAATTCTCATCAAGACAAAGTCAAGTTTTAATTCAAATATGCTAAAATTTATTAAAACATGCTCTTCCTTGCTCCTTAAATGGAAAATGTGTGATTCACATTGATGAGAAAGTGCGAGAGTTTAATTTTTTTTCTTTAAGTTGTTTTAAATTTTTGAATGGTGAATCAAATGAGGAAGGAATTCTGAGAAAATCGTCTCAATGTACATGTAATTCAGCGACCATTTAAAATTCTTCAGCAATTTGCCGAACACGAGAAAAGTCGCTACCCAAAGAAACCCGTCAGAACAAATTACTTTCAAACGTCAATTTAAAAACTCTAGAATTGTTCAGCAAATTGCTAGTTTGGGCCGAGGAATAAAGTGGCTTTTTTCCACGACCCCAAAGGCGATTAATTGTTGAAGAATTCCTGAATGCAAGTTTACGTCTCCAGTAGAAATGATTACGTGAGCATTACGCCTCGGAGCTGCCATGGGAAAAACGATCATTTCCCTTTTTCTCTTTCGTGTGATTGAAAGCAAATACTGCGTGTTGATGTGTGATAAATTGCCCCCTTCGAGAGACTCCTGCTTTTACTCTCGGCTGCTCCTGTACAATTTTTTTTTATCCCCACGCTATATACTCAAAGGGTCACTGCTCAACAACTCACCTTTCTTCGTCTTGTTTTACAATCATCTTTTTTATATGCTGCAGATTTACGAGTTGATTGCGTGCCGACATTTACAGCAGATTTATTGTTTAATTTCTTGATGAGCTTGAAATTGCCGAAAATTGCCCTTTCGTATATATTTACATAATCGATGCAAGCCAATTGAAGAAAAAGTTAGCGACGCAAATGTCAAACTTTACACGCGCCCTGCAGATATTTCAAGTTATATTATAGATGTTCTTAAACTGTTGCTTTATAACGTAAGAGATGTTAAATTTTTCACTTTTTTCGCAGACCACATATGAAGAAGTGGCATTAAATTTTTTATTCCTACCGCAGGCTATGGCTCTGCCTGTTTTGTTAATATCCAACATTTCAGTGATTTTCTTAGCATATCAAAATTTTAGTCCAATTAAAAATTTGAAAAATAATTAATCTCATTATAAATAGTTCAGTTATGATTTTTTTTTACAAAATCCTTAATTTTTTTACTATCTTAATGACAGCATACAAAAATTTATTCTTAAGGTTTAGCTTTATTTCAATTGCTTGCTATCGTATTTAAATAACTACCAAGATGAATTTAATGTAGTTTAATGTTTGCGATTCTTTGTAGTTATTGCATAACTTGAAAAAAAAAGAAAAACAGAAGCCATTTATTTGCACTCTGGTGGGCATATAATTATATAGATGATCTTGTTGTTGTAAAAAGTGCCTTTTTTATTAGCTTCTTTCAAATTGAGTCATTTTGATTTATATTATCCAAGCCTATAAAAACTGTGCTGTCTCAATTTTTTATAAGAACTGTTTTATTGACTGAACAATTGTGACTATTATTTACAAATTTGGTTTAAATGTTTGGAAAACTTGAATTTAATTCAAACTCTACTTTTTAGACTATTAATTCTACGAATTTTGTCTTTTATATAAGCCACAGGAAAAAATTCATTAGACTTTGCTTAAAAAAAGAAAATATTTTCATTATTTTTCAAATATAAACCGTGTGTGTTTAATTTTAAATTTAGAACCACATTATTATTAAAATTGACTTAACTTAGAACTTTTTCGCCTCAAATTGAAGCCATTGTTTTGAGAAATTTATTAAATTGATTATAATAATAATGATTTGATCATCAGACTGAATTGAAAACAATGCAGAAATCGGAGGTTGACAAACAGGTGCATAAATAACTGCACGTCTCTGAATCATTGTGCTTTTTATTATTGTTTAAAATATTTCCCCACACAATAATTTTCGCCGTGTATTGCAAAGGCGACATGGCTTAACGTGGGTGATTATTGGCGCAATATTTGAGTTGACGATTTTGTTGTGTTTCAGCCGTTGTGTGGTGCCGAGAGCCGCACGAGGATGCTGTCCCATTGTCTCGGCGGAGTGAGTCACTCAAGATGATTTAATGAGACCCACCTCTCGTCTGTTGGAGAACAAAGCGCGCCAGCTTCACTTTCTGCTCTGCTGATGAGTCTTGGGTGAGTGTTGAGTTAGTTTAAGAAGGTGGCCCGGAGCGCCGCGCCGCGCCGTGATTACTATTGCGCGGACCATTAACTCTCCGTCTCGTTTCGGACCCGCGGTAATTATAACGAGTTTTTTTCCTCTCATTACATAACGGGACGACGCGATACCTTCCTTCTCATTTTTTTCCATTAATATTTGATTATTATTTTCCTCACCGATCTGCATATTATTACGAGAGAAAGGCCCTAGGGCGCGACAATGGAGCCGGTTGTAAAAACCGCCGAGGTTATTAACATTGGCAATGAAAGTGGATTTTTTTCGTTTGCGGCCGGATTCCTCTGTTTTCTTTTTACTTGCACTCTCCGGTCGTGACTCTCAGACGTTTTATGGCTGCTCACTACTCTCGATGATAATTGTCCGCGAACGTCGAGTTATTATTTATGAATTATGCAAAACACTCTCCGATTCCAGGGAGAGACCTCGACTAGCGGTACTCCCGACTTTATGGTCCGTTTCCAAGCATTTTCTTTGCAAATCAACCGCGGCTTCTGATTTTTGCACACCGATTATTTTTTTATTGCTCTTCCTAAGCAATTTTTTACGGTTCTCGTAGTAGATTTTGTTCCTGATTGAGCTAATTTCGCATCCGTATGATGTTCAAAACGAGCGAACTCCTAAATTAAGCGTCGATTAATGGCCCTTGGATGATGATTAAAATATATGTTTGCACCTGACTAACTTTGCCACAGTAAAAATATTTAAATTAACTCATTATTGTAGTGAGATGGCGTTTTTTTCTTTACATATTCTCATTAAATTTTTACACTCGAGTGGGATTTCCTTTTTTATTCACATCATAGTTTGTTTTATTGCAGAAAATAATATCAAATACCAGATAAAATGAAAATTCAACATAAAAAGAGATTTGTTGAGCTTTAAAAAATAAACGTATTTTAGAAGTATATTATTTTTAAATTATTAATTAAAAATTTGAAAATTTTGATTGTGAAATCTCCTGAGATTTGAAGCGTCGCTGCTGACAATGAAATAATAATCCGATTCTGAGGATGAATACCAGATTTTCAAAGATAATCCTTGGCACAGATATCTCTATCGAAAGATGTCTCACATTTACATAAATTCAATATCAAATTACCAGCAGTTATGGTAACACGGGTGTATCTTGTTTTTTTGGAAGTGAATTCGAGAAGAGGCGTAAATTAAGCCAGGCGCGGTGTAATTAGAGTCAGAGCGTCTTACACTTTCAATAACTCTTTCTTTCTTTCTCTTCCGAGAGCGCATGAAATTTGGGAGCACCATAGAGACATTAATTACCGGTTTTACGGCCATCATTGGGTTACATCCTCCGTCTAATTATGTCATTTCGCTGTCACACGAGGCGCGCTTTGTTAATAAAAATCCCCGAGTGACTGCATAAAAACCGAGTTTGATGAGATGCACGGAAACAAACAAGCTCAACTTTCTCTCAGCAGTTCAGGAGATAAATTATTGTGAAAAATTCTCGTAGTTTTCTTTGTCACTTTTTGGAAAACTTTCAAAGTTTCTAAATTTGTCACCTTCACTCATTCAAGAGGAAGTAGAAAATTATAAAGGAAAGCAAACAAGGATTTACAATTTTTTGTTTCAAAACATATTATATTAAATAAAAATAATATCATTTTAATTCGAAATTTAGTAAGTTAAAATGAGTTTTTCTAATATTTTTTATTGAATGAAGCAGGAATAAAAATATTTATCAATTATTTTCCCCTTCTTTATAAATAATTCTCTGACTGAACAATTTCGTGTTTATTTTAATTCTCAAATCTATGTTTATGCTTATTTCACTATATATATTTTTTCGGGTTAATTTTTCCTAGAAATGTGTTTTTCTTTTAAAATTAGAATTTTCAAATGCAATGGTTTTTTTATTGATAATTTGATAATCTTTCATTTAATTAAAGCAATCGGATATAACCTGTAATAAATTTTGGAATTAACAGAAATCAAATGAAAATTTTCTTCATTATGTGTTTTCTTTTATAGAATAGAAACAAATCTCTCAATTAATGGAAATACATTTTATTTGAGATTTTTCATCCATATAAAATTGATATAAACAATTCACCTTTTTGAAGAGAAAAAGTGATTTTTTCACCAGTCTATTGTTAAGAAAGCATTGTTGACGTCGTTTTCTTTCACATCGAAATTCTTCCCACGAGAATAATCAATGAACTCGAGATTTGCTTTTTTGTCACACGCACTTCTCGGGAAAAAGGCGCTTTCGGTCTTTTAACGAAAAAAAGGGATGCTCTGGACGCGACACCAGCCGCGCGCGAGGCTCCGAAGAGCGTGGCTGTAACGGTACTTCGCTCTGGTCCATTCCTCCCGCGGTTCTCATGAAAAGCAGCATCCCTGATGTGACCAGCCACGAAAATCTCCCAAGGTGCAAAGTCGTCGTTCTCGGCAATAACTGGTCCTCTTATGGTTATTTTCGCTCGCTTTTAACGCGCGTGTGTTTCCGAAAGTAAAGCGAGGTGTGCGCCGAGAGAGTGCGGCAAAAAAAGTTTTTATATCTCGGTATGGCAGATCACTGTGGGAAACTGTCGCCCGCAATTAGCTGCTCCATAATTTATACCGGCTTGTTTGGCCTTTTGCATTGCTACGGGCTTAATAATTTTTTTAAGATTAAAAAGTCTTGGTTTTGACAATGATGCTATTTTGCTAAAAAAAAATTATAATAATAACATGTATCTATAAATTAAAATTAAATAAAAAGTTTTTTTTAATTTTGACAATTTTGAGATTGTTAAATATATTAAAAAGCAGTTAACAAGCAAAATTATTATAAATTACATAAATGATTTTCTTATTATTATGTAAATATTTTAATTTTGTATGTTTTTTTTAAACAATTTTCTTTGTTATAAGTGCAACTTAATTTTAAGAATAAATAAAAATTCTGGTACATCACATGGTTATTCATAATCATTATAAAATAATAATATTAGCTTGCTTAGACCATCTTAATATATTCATTTATTAAATCTCGTGAAACCAATTGAATTCCACAGTATGATTAATTAATACTATCTACTTAATGAAGAAAAGCCCGGTAGATCGCACAAAATCATAAAATTAAAAATTTCAATCTTTGACAAGCCAACTATCAAAATTGGAATTTCTTCTACAATAAGTATTAAATTAATGCGAACTCTGTATTATCGTGCACGTATTACTGTAAACGAATTTTTTCCTTTCCAGCCGTGATCCATTTAAAATAAAATTTAACTTTTTTAGTAACAAAAATGAGCGCAATTTTAAAAATGGATGGATATCTCACCGACTGTATAATATGGTGCTTACAGTTTAATTCAATTTTTGTTGTTCTTCACTTTTGTGATGCCATTTGCAAAATTTTAGTTTAGTTTTGCAAATTTAATTTAAAACATATAAATTTTTATTTTTACCATTTTTTTACTTTTTCTTCAGTAACATACATTTATATTTATTTTACAGCTACTCTTCTAATTTCAAGTTACGCCAAACAAACACTGACACGCATCTGACGCAAAGCATCTCGGGTGAAACGCAGCATGACCGTTTATACAAAATTTTCATAAGAAGTGTCTCTCGTCTGCAATAATTTCTTCTAGATGCAATTACAAATTTCTTTCCCCGCGCCTTCTTTTTCATCTAGTCGTGAAGATTACGTGAGAGATGAAAATGATCTGTTACACAATGAGCGTACATAAATATCTCTCTCATGGCCGGGCAACAATGAGCGCATTGTTGTCAAATGATGCGCGGCGGTGTGAGAACTGCGAGATGCGTCGCGTCGTGATTGATGTGAAATGATTTTAACGGGGATTGCATGTCGTCGCGTCGGCGAATTTCTCAATGCACAATAAATAGACACTTTCCACACGGATTCATATTGTGTGCGTCTTCTTTTCTCGCAGCACCAACAGTGCAATTATAAGAAGTTTGAATTGAATCTCTGTGGATTTACAGCTATTTTCAAACCCTTTTGAAATAAATTTTTCGTCGAGGTGCTTTTCAACTCGATCGCCTTTTGTGGGAACTCTGAAAAGAGCTGAACTTTTTAGTACTTTGAACTTCGCATTAAAAACCCGGAATGGAATTTTAACAGACTCTCTGAAGACATTAAAATGACCATTGAAGCACTCCTTGCGAGCTTTTAACTGATTTTTTTTATTAATTAATAATTTTATACGCAGCAATTTGAAGAATCTAAAGTAAAAAACTTTTCCCAAGAGATTTCAAAAATAAATGTTCCATAAATTAAACTTTTGAAGGAAAATGTTGCTTGCTTTCACGTTTAAATTATGCTCTCAAAAAATATGCTCCTGTTTGTCCACATCAGTTAGGGCAGTTCTTTTTACATCCAATAGGAAAAATAAATTAAAGCTTGCATTGTACCGAATAATTAAACGTTTTCAGAAATGGGTGAGAGGCGTCTGAAAATTGGATAGATTTAAATATTGAAAGAAATAAATTTTATCCCCTTTTTCTTCAATTAATTAGAACAATTCTTCTTAAAGTCTTCCGTTAGAGATTACAAAATTTAATCAACACTTTGATTCCATGATCTAGAATTGGTTTTTAATTGTTAATATAAAATTTAGTTACATATTATGATATCATTTGTAATTTTTTTATCAGCCTATTTATTTAAAATTATTTATATATTTTGTTAATTAAAATAATAGTTAAATATTTAACGCTTTAAATAACAAATTTTTACAATAATAAAAGAAAAAACCTTGATATTAGTTTTGTTATCATATCATATTTTAATTAAATTATATTGTTTACACATTATAAATATCAATTACGACACAAGCTAACAGCAAGATTTACTTAGTTTACAGCTAACTGATCTAGCGGACCGCAGTAGGACGCACTGGTAGATGTTATAATTATAAATATCATATATTTCCATAACCAATTATTCACAGTTTTGATCAAATAATTCTTCATTTCGTCTTTT